GCTATGTATTAAATAAGTGTTTCCATTGAATGCTGCCATTAGTTTGAAACCAATTCATAACAAAACAAGTGTTTAGTTGTTCGCTCAGCGCTCAGGCAAGCGATGAGCCTATGGTTTGCTGTTATAACTGCTATTAAACGCCATAATTAACGGCAAGTCTTTCTTTCAAAACAACCGGAAATTGTTCCGAAAATCGGCGCCAATTCTCTTCTCCCACTTGATTCTTGAAGCCGTGAAGAATCTATACATTCATTCAAATCCACATTAAATACAAATCACTTAGGAATCATTAAGCAATGGTTGAGTGCAAACCTCGTGAAACATTTGTTTGAGGTCTGGTTTGGGACTATTCCACGACGCGATGGCATCGCAAAAGAAGATAAACTCATTGACAACTCCGCCCGGATTCACACCAATCATTCCGCAAATGCCTCTAAACGCTGAGTCCTTCTCTTCGTTATCACGAATATTACGTAAAGACGAACACCTATTCATACAAATGGTCACCAATTAATTACAAGTTATAATACGTGACAAATGTAACACATTTTCAATGCGTTTAAAGAGACAGAAATGGTATGAAAGACGTGAATAAATGAAATAAATAAAAGAAACGGTGTAATGGCATACAGACCATGGGCGTATAAATTGCTGTAACATTGGGGCCACTTCTTCGGGACAAACCAAACCCAAACGACCGATTGTTATGGCTATCAATCATTACAAGTGTTGATTGATTCACCATTTTATTTGTCGAGCAATTTATTATATATTTTTTATTCATAAACACAAACGAAAGCCACGAAAATGAAGTGAAAAAAAAGAAAACAATAAATTAATTAAAAGACAACACATATAATACCAAAAATCAATCTAAAAACTAAAATAAAAAGTGTGTTCTCAATGCAAAGGCCACAGAAAGTGGTGCTGATGTCAAACCTGTATTTTCAAGCAGTGTTTTGGGAGTTCCCGGCTGATTGATGATTGTGATCAATTGGGACAATACCATCGCTACGTAGGGCTTCATATCGGCGTTCAGTTTGACGGCCACCTCTCCTATAGCCCACGTGGCGTTATTGCACACAGAAATGTACTCCGGTTTCAGATTTTGGCCCAAAATAGGCAAGAATTCGCCTAAAATGCAACAAAAAAATCACTTTATTATTGAACTGCAAGTTATGGACAGTCAAATGGGCATAAGTGGACACTACGCTCAGTCAGTACGAATACAAAGGTCACACGTATTGATTCAATTATTCATTACTGTTATCATCATTGGATGGGATCAAGTGTTAGATGAGTAAAGCAATACAAACCGATACAAGGGTTCACGTGTTGGAAACAAGCTTTTGTCAGATCTCCTAATAGAGCGAACGAACTCTGGCGTACTTCAGGCATCGGATCCTTAGATAATAATGTCATGAAAATTGGAAAACATTAATCAATGTTCAAAGAATAGAGTAAACTCATTGGTTCCATACCTGCATGCATTGGTATAACAGTTGCATTATATTACTGGACATCACTAACGAATCCAAGTGTCCGTTTAGACCTTCAGCCAAACCACTTAACAGATCGAGCGCTACAATCATAAAGTCTTTGTTTGGCGGCTCAAACTGTTCCGGATGTTTGGCGTTTGCCTATCGATTCATTCATACCATTAGATCAAATAACTTATAAATCAGTCTTAATTGTTACCATATTTAAGTTAAGGGTTTGTTCGACGAGAGACAGACAGCGCCTAAAGACTGGCTCACAATAGGGTAAAAACCCAGATTGAAGAGCTGTGGCCACAGATGAGAGGCACTGGAGATAAACATTTACGATTAAAACAGAGATAACTTTGAATGCATTACGAATATACCTCTAAAAGTGGAAATAAGTCTTTGTCATCGTCTTTGAGCAAATTCCACTTCTGGATCAGTGGAGGCATTAATAGATTAATATATTCCGGTTTATTCAGATGGTGTCCAACTGAGTCCGCGAGAGTACCGATCGCGTCGTACAGTATTAATAAATTTTTGTGCTATAATTATGTTTAAGATATACATTAGTATTAGTTTTCATGTCTATTAGAAAGAGGTGTCAAACAAATACCTGGTATTTACTGAATGCAAAGACTAGAGTTTGAAGAATAAATTCTAAGTACGGGACGAGTTCAGTACACGCTTCCTCCTCGAGTGTTGCGAATGCACTACAGGCCGCCTCCTGTACTCGTTTGTTCGCATCCAATACTCGTTTCAAAAGCTATTTTATACCACAAATCAATTCATTACGATTTCAATTACAATGCATTTCATGTAATGTAAGCCAAACCTCAGTCATTAAAGGCTTGAGGAAGCGTTCGTGTTGTTGTTGGACAACCCAATGAGAGTAACGGCTTAGAGTCCAACAAGTGATCGATCGAACCAATGCTTTCTTCTCCGCCAAACAACTAATCAAATATGGAATCAATTCTGACAAATGAGGGATCATTCCAGTCATACATCCTATTTGTCGCATACGAGACAATAAATCAAACAATTAGTTCCATGTGTTGGCCATAACAGTACACTTCAATACCTTCGGCAATGGCTCCCAATGCGAGAACAGCCGATTCTTTGACGACCCAATCCTGATGGAAGATTGTCTCTTTCAGAATGGGTAGCACTACAGGTAGGAGTTCGTCGTGGAAGACATTGGCCAACACATCCAACGCGGCCGCAGAACACTTGCGAAGATTCCAATCGGACAGCGAGTTGTCGTCACTGTCGTCGTCGGAATCGTCTTCGCTGTTCTCCTCGTCGTTGTCCTCCATATGTCTCTGCGCGTGAGTCCGCGACCTATGAAACCGGGGTTTGATGTCCTCCTCTTTGTCGGGAATCATTTCGTCCTCTTCGACGTCTCCTTTCAATAAAATTATATCGATTTCCGAATATTTCATTCGACGCATCAGAATAGGGATCAGTCGCGAGAGATGTCCGGAAAGCACTTCTTTACAGATGGGCTGCTCTGCCAGTGAGAGCCAGAACTCACACGACTCTAAGGCCACGTTCTCGTCCTGGTCTTGGGTTCTCATTAACATATACTGCAATACAAAACATGGCATTTGTTTCAAATAATTCTTTCATTGAATGCATAATTAAATCATATGATAATGAAATGGGTTTAAATGAATTGCTATCCTTTCCAGGTCTGGACCGTTTGGCTCATTGATTGTAACCAAAGGAGCGATTAAGGAAAGGGTCGGACAGAAGGAGAGCGAGAAATTCATATCAAATCAAACCTCAATTATATTGTGAATGTGGGGAATGAGTCGATCCATCCGTACTTCCAATAGCATGACTAGAGCTCTGCATACGTTTCTCCTAACTTCTGGGTCTTCATCCGACGCCAAATGGAATAAATTCTGCAAACATTCAATACAAACACATTATTCAATCAATAAACACGTGTTTTGAGCGCTTGTCTAATGGGAGGGCGAATACAAACCTCAATGAATGAGTCGATGTGTAGCATAAGAGCCTGAGTGCGGCTCATAATGAATTGGTTAACACAAGCGATGGCATGGGATCTGATTTTGTTGCTGCTGTTTGTGAAGAATTGTAGAAACTTAGGGATCAGTATATTGAGGGGTCTGTTGAGTACATCGCTGTCCAACACTTCTGACGAGTCTTCGCATATCTTCTGGAGTGCGCCGAACGCTCCCTCACAGCAACTGTAGTCCTGGGAGTCCAGCATTTGGACCAATCGGGGCAACAGTTCCGGCCAATTCACGAGCTCTCCCTTCGAGGCGATCGTCGTTATAAGAATGCCAACTGTGGCCCGGATTAGCGGCGAGGGGTCGCCCACACTGTCCAGGCATTCGCTTTTGATGAATTCGGTCACTTCCGCCGGGAACTGATGCAAGTGTGCCCTCACATTGTTCTTCAGGATCAGACCGCTCAACGACCGCGTCGGCTCATCTGCAACACAACACATGGTGTCAATCGGTGGTCAAACAAACAAATCAATTACTAATAAATACCTTCAGTTTTTAATTTCGTTAAAACAAAAATTAAATAATTATTAAAATCTGGAAATTTATTCAATTCTTCTAATTTCTGGAAACATTGGGGGAAAGAAAGAGACAATTAGTGTTTGAATGCAAACGTATGGCAAATGTGTGGCAAACGTGTCATTAATGACAGACCTGTTGAACAGTCCTTTGTGTCTGAGTATCGGGTGATTGGGATTCGCGAAGAAGTTGTAGTATTTGTTCCAAACCCTCTTGTCTTGGGGTCCACGCCATCAGCATTTTAGGTGATAATCAGCACAACTATGACAACAAGCGGTCACTGATCGCACATTTATAGCAATTACTGATCAATAACTCAATTATGTATTAATTGTCATCAAAATTGAGTCCAATAAATAGCTCCAAATTGTCGGCCAATTTGTGTCCAAATGAGATAATTAGCAAAAATAGCGATTAAATTGATTCAAACGATAGCATAATTGAGACATTAGTTAATAAATTATTCAATTAATTACTAATTTGGTTAATAAAATAGATTTGATGTTTGAATGTATGAGAAAAACATGATTTAGATTTGCAATCAATGGCTCTAATAATGGAGTCAATACAACTGAATGGAGAAGTGAGTGGAGAGTGACTGCAAACACACCATTCA